GAGCGCGCGAGCGCTGAATGGATAAACACTGGCAAGAATTAAAAAGAAATGCAATTTATTAACTTTAGTGACGATGTGACACTGCCTCGACTGTGCAAGTGACAATTCCTGTGTCAACTGTGCAGCGTGCAGTTCGACAATAAACAGACGCGATGTGGTGATTTGAAGCCATTTGTGTATTTTGAGAGCGCGGTGATTCACTCAGGCCATTTGTGAAATTACGTCTCACACAAGGTTTTCAAATTACTTTATAAGTTATTTAATGAAGAAATATGAAGCTGAGTACCTTATTATCTATATTCATTATAATTACTTCACCCGCACCGGACAGAGACTGAGACAGTGCCGCGGCATGTCGTGCCAAACCTCTTACGGTAGCGTCATCAGCTTGAGATCGTTTTTTTGAGATCGGCCTTTTAGAGACCGCCAATCAATCATTCCAACGTGATTATCGGCCGATAGTGATCGGTGGCCGATCAATCGGAGCACCCCTAAAAATAACCCATAGCAGATCTATACAGGTGGAGCTAGGGAAGGTGGAGGGTTTCAGAGAAACTCTGAAAGCGCAGGAATCTCAAGTGAATGCTAGCCAGCCATATAAATGCAAGGCAGTAGGCTCATTGGCTGCATATGCAGCATGAACCAATCAGCTTGTGCCAAGTTGTTTAACTCTCTGAATATCATCATTTACGTTAACAACCCATCAGCCTGCGCCATCTAGAGTTTCATGACTGAATTATATATTTAACTGCACGACTGCTCTTAATGAAGATCAACAGTCTTTCTTTACTCCATTTTTCGATTTTCAGTACTGTAATTTTGTGTGTGTGTGTGTGTGTGTGAGTGTGTGTGATAATGTTCTTGGCATTCACACATTTGGGTATTGTAGAAATGCTTAAATTGTTTGCTTCTTAAGTGACTGGCACACAATGCATTCTCAAGTGGGCATTTACAAATAAAAATATCACAGAGGATGTATTACATATTATTCTCATACACACAAAATCCAGACAAAATGGGCAATTTTTTTGTTATGGTCTCCACCCTGCAGTCCCATAGAGTGTCACAACTGTCAGAGAGACAAGAATACTAAACCATCCTCTAAGCACCCTGAATAACAACAAAAGGCCTATTCACACACTCACATGTCCTAACATCCCACACACTGATAAAACATTGGTGTAGAATTTACTTGGAAAAAAGCTTCAAGGAAACTCAGAAATTGCTAGTAAATGTCACAATTTCATTTCTTTGTAATTATTTGTGACACTGATCAGCAATTTCAGAGTGAAAACTGTTTTACATCAAGTAAATCCTACCCCATTTTATTGTCACAGATTCATCATAATGAAAATCCGCAAGAGTCAGAGGTACCCTAGTCTCAGCCTCAGACGTCACACCCATGGACCGTTGGCTAAACGTCTGATGCATATGGCACACAAAAGTGGAAACACTTCAGGAGTGTCGAAGTCGTCATCGGATTGGTTGAATTCTACAGGATTTCCAGGAGAAGTGTGTGTCGCGTTCTTTAACGTTCCGTCTGGAAACAAAGATACCATGCCACCAAACCCCCTCACGAAAGAAGAAAGCCGTCGTGTTTACAACTGTGACGACGAGCACTTATCAGGATCAACTAATCGCTGGCGTTTCAAAAGTATGTGAAATATTTAAAGTTCGCGGCATAGAATCTTTAAAATACATCCGAGAGTTTTACAGTCTGTTATTGTGGCGACATTTCCACACCCCGAAACGTGACGATGAACGAAACGAACTGTGATTGTTTGTTTGACATGTCGGTCAAACGGCCTCATGGGCGGGCCTTGACTAATGAAAGCTGCCATGGATTCCAGACCTTCAGCCGTCAGTCTGAAGGTCTGGCTACGCGAAACTAGAGGTACCCCAAAAAACCTGCATTACTCATTTGTATATTAATAATATAATATAATAATATTTTATTTAAAATCTAATTTAAATTAATTTAATGTTTACTTAATTTTACCTAAAGAAAATGTGCTTTCATAAATGTAAATATTTTAAACAATTGAATATTATTTCATATGAATTAATATCATGTTTCATTAAGTTATAATAATATAACTTCACATCAGATAACATGTAAAGCTAACTGACTGTCCTGCACTGAGGCAGAAGTCTATATAGGGAAATGAGCAGTAACTGGCAAACATCCATTGATCTAGCAGCAGATGCCCGTCTCAAGGATTCACGTACCTGGGAAAGGGCCAGGGTATTTATATATTCTACAAATGTGCCTGTTATTTATAGAGCAACGTAGGCTATCTTGTTGTTTAGCACTAACACCCTGCTGTGTGTGTGCGGACGCTCAATCTAATGACATCAAGTCCTTTTCTCACTGTCCACAAACATTTAGCTACAAGCACAAGCCTTCTGGATACAGAAAGGGATGATGTCATTTCCAGCCAATCATATTTATGCTGCATCACCACCATCCTCCTTATCTGGAGGACGGTTGCTAAGCAACACCACAGCAATGCATGCACCCAGCTCCCTGTCGCTTTGTAGTTGCCTTCTGTAATTTGCTCTTCCTTGTTGGTGTAATTGATCCAATCAGCACATCTGCCACGGAATCGCAAAACAATCTCCCCATGCTGCTTTAAATTCAATCTAAAATTGCCTGCTGAGGATTTCCAGCAGGAAACACTGCCAATTATATTGCGTTTAGCATGTGAATCAAAGAGAGTACATGTAAGTGACATTTTCACATATTGTGAGAGATACTGTAAAATTGCTACAATTTTAATCAACTTCTAAACGTATTCGCTTAAATACGCCACAGAAAGCTTTGAGTTTAATTTGCAAACGACCAGGTGTTTCTGAGAAAAGGGTGGGCTGTGAGTTTGACAAGAACGAGAGAGAACAAAGCGCTACGATGAGCTCACACGGACACTGCGATGGAGAGAGAGTGTGAAAAGAGAGAAAGAGCATGTCGCAGTACACTGCAATATAACCGCCTGTTTATCCTCTCGTCTAAAACCAGCCTGTACTAAACCGAACAAGCCAAAAATCAAGAAAATGAGCTCAAATCAATGTTTGCATGGCATTCATTCAGAACTCTGTTAGGTTAGGTTAGGTTAAGGACATCAGCCATCAGATTTAAATCAGCTTTAATTTGAAAAAGCTGGTGTAAGTTGGCAGCAAAGAACAATACTAATTTATGTCAAAAAGCGTTTACTAAATTAAAGTCTCTGCGTTTACTCACTTTGGATGATTAAGAACAATGATTTATGACTTTGAGCAAATTACAGCCAAGTCGTTAACAATTTATAGAACCTTGATGAGGTTTTCCTATTATATGTCCTATTTAAACAGCAAGCTGTATGGGACATATTGAATACATATTGAATAAAACAGCCATAGCCTTTAACTTACATTGCAGCCATAAACCAGAATTAGTTGTTCTTGTTAGTCAGTGGTATGGAGAGAGCCAAGGTTTGGTTAGTTAGCATCAACAGTCAGCCACTGCTGGCAGATACTGTAACTACACCATTACAAACTGATTTTTTCTCCAATGACAATCATTCAAAAGTAGTCATGTATTCTATGCAGGGTTGCAAAGGGATGGTAAATTTCCTGAAACTTTCCAAAAATTCTTGAACGTTTTCTAAATTTACCAAAAATGTTCCGATCCTCTGCAACCCTAACTCTATGTATATGTATTCCATCGACATTTGAAGTTAGCATGTAAAAAAAAAAAAAAAATTTAGTATAGGTATAATTTAACTCTTTAGAACAGACTTCACATCAAATGCTGTCTATGTAGGCAGCTTACTAGGTTTTGTAAACAAATACCCACAACAATAGTATCTGTGAGTGAAAACAGAAGTTTTGGGGATTTTTTTATGTTTATTACCTTTATTTTGATAGGACAAACGGTAGACAGACTCGAACTCGGGACGTAATGGCACAATATGTCAGCACCAACAAAACTGAAGTTTTAATTAATAAGCTAATCTCATCAATCAGTCAGAATTTTGAATTTCATCAGTAGTCTGGTACACTTTACTCTTCTGGCCAAGAACGACCCGTTTAAACAGGAAGGGCCCATCTGGCTGACATGATAGGCCCCCAACATTTGGTAACTGGCGTTTACATGTCAGCTACTAAAGGCCCTATTTTAACGATCTAAGCGCATGGTCTAAAGTGCACGGCGCAATAGCGTTTAGGGCATGTCTGAAGCCACTTTTGCTAGTTTAAGGATGGGAAAAATGGTTGGCATTGTTTAAAAGGGTTGTCCCTATTCTTTTAATGAGTAATGGGTGTGTTTTGGGCGTAACGTGCCATAAACCAATTAAGAGTCTCATCTCCCACTCCCTCTAAAAGCCAGTTGCGCTCGCACCATGGCGGATTCGCTATTTACATGGCGGAATTTACAAGCGGAAAAACTGAACGCTTCTCGGATCTGCTCGTGCGCGTAATTCTGATACATGCAAAGACTATCCATTATGACATGTAGGCATTTTTATATTTATGTACACAATAATAATTTTTACATTTTAATCCTTTCATTTTTCATTTAAAAAAATGTTTGTGTGCTGCTGCGCATCCCTGTGTGTGTAATAAGCAAAGTGTACGCGCGTTGTGCACCCGCCTATAGGCACATATTACTAACGCGCTCTTTAAATAACAAAAATAAATAAATAAATATTGCGCCAGACTTTAGACCAGGTTTTTGTTGGTCAAAGGTGCAGTCTATTTTAGTTGCCTCAAAATAGCAACGCGCCAGGAATGCGCCTGAACACACCTCGTTTTCAGACCAGCACGCCCATGGGCGCACAAATGGGTGCAAATGCATTTGCTATTTAAACAATGTGGCGCGGGACATGAAATTGACAACTGCGTCGGGTTGAAACTAGCAAAAAACACTTGCGTCACGCGCCTGGCGCCGCATTGCGCCAAGTATATGAAAGGGCCCCAAGTGTCTAAACCCAAAACACTGTTGGGCATCTTTAAAAGGCACCACAAATCTTGGTAGCTTTGTCAAATCCAATTTCTCCTTACAAGAACTCATAGGAGCAGTCTGGCAACACAGATTTCCTGCAGACACTTTCCCTCCTAGAAATTGCATAAAACCATACAATCAGATTAGACCTTGCCGTTTTGAGAAACCCCTTGCCATTTTTGTGTGGAATTTGCCTGACGCTGAGATTAATACTAAACAGGCACTAGATCTACAGAAGTATGAGCGATAGTTACTCACGTTGCGAGTACAAAAGGATCTGGATCTCCAATAGTGCGCAGGTGAAGAGCTGTAGCACGTTCTCCACACCTAGCAGCTCAAACACCTCCTGCAGGGGGAAGTCAAAGAGGGGTAGCTCAGCCGTGCTGGGTCTCTGACACACCACAGGCCCGTATACGCCCGAGAACTTCAAGGAACGCCCGACCGGTGGCAGTGGGACCTCGTAGAGGACATTGTAGACGTAGCTCTCCAGCGGCAGCGGCGGGGGCTGAGGCGAGGTGACAGCCTGGTGCAGCTGTTCCAGAACCTTTCTGCAGGCCTGGGCGAAGGCCATGGGTGTGATCAGACAGATGCACTTGGACACATACAGTGTGTCTCGGCTGATGTCGTAGGAGTTGAAACGCTGCAGCCGAGACAAGGAGGGAGCAGCGTGCAGTTGTTGAGGGGTGGGACGGGTGTCTTCTGGACTGCGAGGTGTGGGTGGAGTGTGCAAGATGTCGTACTGTTCTGCATTGTGCATGTGGTAGAGCGTCTGCATGGCACTGCAGATCTGTTTGCTGGTCACCTCCTCGAAGAAGGTGAGGGCAAAGCCGTAGGTTCGGGAGCCGTCCTCTCTCGTGATAATGAAAGAGTGGAACTGGGGCTCGCGGATGTCTGTCTGGGTGCGGAAGGACAAGCCCTTTGGCATACAGAGCTGTGGGGGAAACAACAAAAAAGTCTGAGGCTCATTAAAAAGAACTTCAACAAGTTCCCTTAATTTGAGCCACTCCGATAGACCTGATAGACCAATATAGCAGTGGTTCCCAACCATGTTCCTGGACTGCACATTTAGTAGAGACTCAAAGACCTGAAATGGGTGCGTCAGACAAAGGAAACATGCAAAATATGCATTGCTGGGAGGTGTTTAGGAACATGTTTGGGAACCACTGCTATATAGCGCCCATGCATATTAAGTGACTTGTTTGGACAATTAACAGACATTGAACAATTAAATTTCAAATGCTATCATTAACTCTTTCCCTGCATTGACAGAATTTTCTGACTTTTCGCATTTTCACTGATACATGGTAGGAGGCGCTATTACACATCTTCTTAAATAGTATTGAATAGCCGGATCAAAACACAGTGAAGCAGCAGCAAAAAGAGTGATCGCATAAGTAAGCAGAAGATGCATATGCAAAATAACACAATCATCAAACATTAAACAGCATATAAATCAAAACTGCCCAACGTTACTGAATGAAATGTTGAGTCAGGAAGTAGTATCAGACCGTGCAAGCTTGGGGGTGTTGATGGAAGTATCTACTCCATCATTTTGATCATCATTCTGAATCCAATCCAGATGTAGTGTTTTACAACAAAGTCATTTTCTCAGCTTTTTGCTCAAAATGTTGCTCTTTTTATGAAACTTGCTTACATTCAAGTATTGATAAAAATGCATCAAGCTAGAAGAAAACGGTTTGTTTTGTTTAAAAGCACATGCTCTGTTCTTTCTTTTGACATATTGCATGTTCAGATATTCACACAATGAAATATTCTAGGGACTGTGAACATTTTGTGAAAATGATCAAAAATGCAGGTGGTGGCTGGCAACTTTTTTTTAGAAATGCTGACAGGGAAATAATTAAACAGTTAAATATATCATATATGATATATTTAAGCGATACATTGCAGGACGCTGTGCTATATTCTAAATACAGACTGGCAAAAGGGCGTTGTTAGGCATGACCCACAACACCACCTCAAGTGCCTTCCTGCTTTATGACAGGGTAAAGATACTGGAGGGATTGGTGTGGATCCCAAAAATAATCACATTTGTGTCAGTCTGCTCTAAGAGCCGGTTTGCGTATGTCTGCGTGATGTAATTTTCATCAGTAGCACAGTCTGCTGCTGTCCTTGCACAAAAAAACAGAACTTCTGATATGAGTGCTAAAAAAATACGATCCACTAGCCACATCTATCCATGCTCATGGTCAAAAATGCTTATTTTGAAAGGCTTGCACGATTAGCGTGAGAAAAAGTGGAACACAGAATATGAAGCATACCTGGGCCTTAAAGGGACAGTTCACCCAAAATTGAAAATGACCCCATGATTTACTAACCCTCTTTATTATCGGGTTATTATCGTGACGTGACATGTGGCCAAGTATGGTGACCCATACTTGGAATTAGTGCTCTGCATTTATCCCATCCAAAGTGCACACACACACACACACACACACAGCAGTGAAAACACACACTGTGAACACACACCCGGAGCAGTGGGCAGCCATTTATGCTGCAGCGCCCGGGGAGCAGTTGGGGGTTCGGTGCCTTGCTCAAGGGCACCTCAGTCATGGTATTGAAGGTGGGAGAGAGCGCTGTACAGTCACTGCCCCCCACCTACAATCCCTGCTGGTACGAGACTCGAACCCGCAACCTTTGGGTTACGAGTCCGACTCTCTAACTATTAGGCCACAACTTCCCCTTCTTATGGATATTTATGGATATTTTTCTTATACAAACGCACCCCCGGAGCCGTATGGAGAACTTTTTATGATGGATGGATGCACTTTTTGGACTTCAAAATCTCAACACCCATTCACTTCCATTATGAAGATTGGAAGAGCCAGGACATTTTTAAATATAACTACCGATTGTATTCGTCTGAAAGAAGAAAGTCATATACACCTAAGATGACTTGAAGGTGAGTAAATCATGGGGTCATTTTAATTTTTGGGTGAACTGTTGCTTTAAAGGTTGGAGTGGAATCGACAACTTGTTCATTCACTGATTAATTTAATGACTCTTTCTGCAAGTTACCTTATTTTTCCAGTATGTGCCAACCAGTAAGTGTCTTTCTGAATATTATAGAGTGAGTCTTTGAATCATTCAATCAAAAGATTGGTTGACAGTTGTTCAATTTCAAATATTTTCAGTCCCATATAGTCCCTGACATGTACAATAGGTAGTTTAAAAGGTGTTTTGCATCAAAGCTGTTATTATATTGCAAAACTATCGCAAATTTTCACTTGATTTGCTGGTGGCCACCCTGCATTCTAAAAATTAGAACTAATTTTTGAAAAGCCTATATTGGTAGACCCCAATGTGTGTTACTCACCATGCCCACAGCATCCTGGTCAAAAGAGTTCCACTCCACATTTTCGGGATAGTGCGCTAGAACTTTAGATTTAAAAGTTCTCCGAAGTGGACTCTGCTCAAAATTCTCACCTGAGATTCGGACAGAAAGAGAAAAAGAAAGAGAGTTCAGATGAATAAACAAACTCATCTACATCCTAGATGGCCTGAGGGTGAGTACATTTTCACCAAACTTTCATTTTGGTGGACAATTCCTTTAAAAATGTCTTGAAACCCCTCCATTAAATTCCGTTGCATTCTGTCCATTGTTGCAGAGATGTTAACTCCCTTTCCTGGTCACAGATTCTACAGATTGACTGTGTAATTTCGGTTTTGGGAAGTTCTGCTTGCTGTCACACATATTAGACACAGCATGTTGAAACAACTGAGACTGAAGGCGGTGTGCGTGCACATGAATGTCACAGGTGTTTTCCTCTCCTCTGCTGCCCACACAGTAAAAACTGACTAATTTAAAGCTTTTTCAGCTTCCATATCAGAGAAAGTGTAAGATATTTAACTGATCTGCCTCAGACAATGAACAATACAGTCTTGATGCAACAAGAACAGACTTGTCTCTGAGGGATATTTCCCTGAGGAATGTGTTCAGGTTTAAGCGGAGGGTAAGAACGTGTTTACTTGTCACCAATCTTTAGGGATGCCATGTGTTTGAAGAGTTAATGGATTCTTTGTGTGGCATTTAAAGGACAAGTAACAAATCAAACCCGGTGGTTTCACCAGTCTGGGATCACTACAGGGATAAGACCAGGAATGTGTGGAATTAACCAACACAAACACTAGAGGCTGCTAGGCTGGTTTAAACACTGACAGTGTCGAGCTACAAGGAACCACCAGAGACAACATCACAATCATAATATGACAACATGCTGCAATATATAGCATGTTGCTAAATTATGGATTGTCTTTATTAATGTTTCTGATCTGTCTTTTTCCATGACAATCTTGTTCCCATGTAGGGGAACAATCTTGTTCTCTTTCCACTCAACTTCTTTATAATATGTGTAAAATATTGAAATATAAGACTACACTCTTAAAAATAAAGGTGCTTCAAAAGGTTCTTCAAGCAATGCTATAGAAGAACCATTTTTGGTTCCACAAAGAACCATTCAGGGACCAGGAATGTGTGGAATTAACCAACACAAACACTAGAGGCTGCTAGGCTGGTTAAACACTGACAGTGTCGAGCTACAAGGAACCACCAGAGACAACATCACAATCATAATATGACAACATGCTGCAATATATAGCATGTTGCTAAATTATGGATTGTCTTTATTAATGTTTCTGATCTGTCTTTTTCCATGACAATCTTGTTCCCATGTAGGGGAACAATCTTGTTCTCTTTCCACTCAACTTCTTTATAATATGTGTAAAATATTGAAATATAAGACTACACTCTTAAAAATAAAGGTGCTTCAAAAGGTTCTTCAAGCAATGCTATAGAAGAACCATTTTTGGTTCCACAAAGAACCATTCAGTCAAAGGTTCTTTAAAGAACCATCTCTTTCTTACCTTTTTGTAATCTGAAGAACCTTATTTCGCCACAAAGAACCTTTTGTGAAACAGAAAGGTTCTTCAGATGTTAAAGGTTCTTTATGGAACCATTTAGACAAAAAGGTTCTTCTATGGCACCGTGAAGCACCTTTATTTTTAAGAGTGTAAATTGAGAATAGGAATAAAACTACTCATCCTTATCCGGGATGAAATAATACATTCTTTTTATTCTTCATGACCTTTAAGAAAAACACTGGCATTAGTTGAGATTGACTGGCATATGTTGTGTAATATATAATATTATGAGGATGCTTTTAAGCTTCTGCTCTCCCTTCAATATAATTAAATCCAAAAGACCCAAACAAGATGTTTTTATGCTTAATGATACTGAGATTTGTGACATTTTTAATACATTTATTTATCTTTAATACTATAATACTAGGATAATACATTATTATAATATGGTGAGACTAACATCTCATACAGCGTGACATGTATGCAATAACAATTGATGACAGATCACTAAATTATTCAAAATTGTATGCATATTTGAAGTGGTTATGGAGCCATTAAGAAATTTGGTAGGTTTTCATCCCTACTTGCGGTGCAATTAGTTACAATCCCAACCATATCAATAAATAAAAGTTATGCAACAATGCTTTTAATTTACCAATGGAAAAAAATACAAAATGTTAATGAAAAACAAAGCAGCTACATTTTATGGAACCACTCCTAAAGCATGTATGGACTTAAAATTTGTAGTATAATTTATTTTAAATGGAAGGAAAATGGTTCAAGTAATACGGGGGGGGGGGGGGGATTATTGCAGAATTCCCATTTTGCTCATTTTTCAGAGTAAAAACATTCGGGATCACTCGAAATCCTACATTGAAAAACTTTGGCATTACCCGAAACCAATTTATTATTATTTATCAAAGACACCTGATGTCAACCACAAAATATTTTGTTTATATGCATTATGGAAGCAAATCTAACTCAGAATGTTAACCATATTAAGCCTAGTATTATTTCACTTAGACAAATCCTTATATAAAAGGTACTGCAAGCAAACTGTGGTCACCAGTATCCATCTCCACATGAAACTCACAAAATGATTGATCATCTCATAATGATTCATGGGAAGGCCTTCCATGTTCTCTCTGATAACCTAAGCATGAATTCAGAGGCAGTGCCACACGCAGAGGCGGGTAGAGTGGAGAAAAGCAATCAGCTCTGATGAATGAAAAGACTTCGTCATGGTTCATCTGCCTTGTTAATTCTCTGCCAGCCCCTCACACATGATTTGTTTCAGTCATGGGACTGTCAGCACAAAAGGCCCGAGTTCAAGTGAGGATGAGCCAACGGCAATGAAGCCAATGAAAAACGAAACGCTCATCATTTTGTCGACAGCAAACAAGCATTAGATATTATGAACTGCAAACAGATCAATAAGGCCAAGGTGAGAAGCACCGCTGCTGTAAACAAACAAACAACCCAAACAGCAAAAGCACTGCCTACAAGAGGCAAAGGGGGCCAGATTCAAACCACAACAAACAACAGGGCCCCAAATATATCCTCAATGTTTCAACCTTTCTATAAGTTTATTTATATATATATTTTTTTATTATTATTATTTGTATTTGCTGCTGATTGGAGCCCATACACCATGATTTTATTTGTTATAAAACAGCTCTAAAATTTGGATTCACAAAAAAGTGAGATATTATTCTGTTTGGAATTTTTTTCAAAAGTTGATTCCTCATGAAATGACCCCTGTAAAATGCTTTGGTACTTTCACAAACAGCATCAGAGCCATAAGAAACCGTGATATGATGCGGAGGGGGAAAACACACTGTCTAATAAGGTGACAAGACGCTGTGGTTTTCGGAAAGGTCAGCGCTTTAGAAAACAAATCAGACCTTTTTTCTGACTGCATTTGGGAAAGAGCAGATAGATAACAAAAC